CCCCGACCCCGACCCGCCGCGCCGCCCCACTGCAGTGCCCATATTCGACTACGGCCGCGCGTGGCTGGTGCTGCTCTACTGCGCTTTCATGGTCTGGGTGTCCGCGGTGGAGGCCGTGGGCCGCCCCTCCAAAACATTCAGGGTGCGCACCCCCGCTGTCGACGCTAAAAAGCCCTAGTTCACCTGTCTCCATCGCTCTTCCAACGGGGGCGCTCATGGCAGCTCCGGCCTGCTGTGCCGGTCCTGAGAACCGTCTTGAGCATTTTGGCATCCCTCAGCCTGCACCGCAGCCATCTTGAGGCGGCCGCGTCTCCGGGGCACCTGTAAAATGCATCTCCCCTCTCATCCCTGTCACCTACACACACACACACACACACACACATGGACACACATGCATGCACACATACACAGCACACAGAACACAAAACACAGACAGCACACAAAATCAAACTCGCACACATACACATGCAATCATACACGTACACCCCTCCCCCCCAGGGCGTGTTCCTCAACACGCTGGTTATTGTGGGGGGTAGCTCCTCCGCCATCATGGCCTACGCACTGCTGGTGGTGATGAGGGTCGACCCCTGGTGGACACCCCAGTACCTCATACCCATCCTCGGAATGTGAGACGGACCGCAATCTGCCCCGCTCCCTTGCGCTGGGATCTGGAGCTCGGGCGCGAGGGGCGAACGCAGCGCGAGCAGGAATGAGGTCATTAGAAGCCGGCGGGGCGCAGCCTGTGCTCCGCCGCCAGAGCAAAACGTTATGCTCCGCAAAGGGTGGACGGCTTGCGCTCCACGGTGCATCCCAGGCATACACTCCCTGCCCTGGGCACGGTCTCCCACAATAACCCCACCCCCCGTCCCCCGCACCTGCGTATCCACTGCCTCAGGGTGCTGGGCAACACCATCACCGGTATATCTGTCGGCCTGGGTACCATCATTGAGGAGCTCTCATCTGGTGGGTGGAGTTGGAATCGCGGCTGCACCCTGATGGGGAACGGCGCCTCCACCCTGACCCCAGACACACCCACACACACCCATACAGCCCCGTGCCTTTCTGGTTGTGGCGTCGCCACCTGCCTTTGCACCCCTTGCTCATGGCGGCCAGCGCAGGGCCTTCGCCGTTCGCCGCGTTCCTGCAATGGGGCCTGGGCAAAGAGCGGTGTGTGTAACGAGCGGCGTACAGCCTCGCGGGGACCGGCGATGGGTGGTGCACCCTTGCCGGGGCTTCGCCCCAGCACAAGCCGACGAACGACATCAGTATCCAACCCCCAGCCGCCCACCCCGGCAATGCGCGCCCCCATCCGCCAGGCGCCGACCGCGTTGAGAAGCTGCTGGCCCTGGGCGCGACGCGTTGGGAGGCGACGCGGGAGCCTGTGGCGCGCGCGGTCAAGCTGGCCATGACGCCGCTGCTCAACCAGATGAGCGTGGTGGGGCTGGTGTCAATCCCCGGTGGGTGGAATACTGCAGGGACCGGGCGCCTGCGCCGCATGGGTGTGTGCCATTTGCTCCTGCCGTCTCCTCTCTCTCGCATGTGGGGGCCTGTGGTTGCGTAAGGGATTGAGTAAACAGGCGTCTGCCAGGCGTGCAGGCCTATTGTATGTTATGTGTGCACAGAGGAGCGCAGCGATACAAGTGCAGTGGGTGATTGTGGTGCGCCCTCTCTGGGGCAGGGACTTGGCGGTGGGTCCCGGTGCAGCAGCGCTTCAGCCAGTTGCAGCGCTTTCTCAAAGGGATTCGAAGCTGGCCGAATCGGTCAACAAGGCGGAGCGTCTCCTCTTGCTCCCACTATCCGCCTCTTGCCCCCCCCCCTTCCCCCAGGAATGATGACCGGCCAGATCCTGGCCGGCACAAACCCTTCAGAGGCCGCACGGTACCAGGTGCGGCGAGGCGCTGGGTGCTGCGGCAACAACACAGCAGCTGGGGGGGCCATCGGCACAGCTGCGCATGCCTCTGCACGGAGCCCGCTCCGCCCACGGCCGCGGACCGCGTGGCGACGCGCCGACTGTGATGGTGCCCCTGCGCGGCCGGCCGCCTACAGCTTCGCGCCTTGCGCCACGGCCCGCCGCGCGTCCGGTGTCATTGCATTGTGCCGTCGCGAACTCTTTTTAGTCGACCCCGCTTGCCCGCCTTCAAGCAACCCCCGCCTCGAACCCCCCTCGACGTCAAAGATGGTCATCATGTTCCTTCTGGGGGCGGCCGCCACGCTGGGCGCCGTCGCGTCGATCTACGCGGCCGTGATGCACCTGGTGGACGGAAATCACAGGCGAGCGCCGTGCGCCATGCGCCGCCGCCTCTGCAGCCGCTGCTGCTGAGCTTCCCACGGTTGCGGCGCCGCGCCACTGCTGTCTTTCTTTCGCCCTTCCTTAGCAAAGCCCCATGCCCATTCAGCTGCCGGCTGGCCAAGGCCGCCCGCTGCACACATGCTCTTCCCTGGAGTGGAGGCGACTCCATCACTCATGTGACCGTGCATTCACACATCCAAGGCGTGCCTCAACTTTATATCGAGCACAAATTGAGATTGCTCACCATCCACTGCTCCTGCGGCCGCACGTGCTGCCCCAGGCTGCGCGGCGACAGGCTCCTGCCCAAGGACACGAGGGGCATCTTTGTGTGGCTGTGGCACCAATTGGTCGCGGTGAGCGGCAGCCCTGCCGGCAGCGGGGGGCAGCCAGGCGACCCGCCTGGGCATCGCTGCAGCACAAGTGCGGGCTTCCAGCTGTGCGGCAGTTGCCTGTGTGGCTGATGCCAGGGGCTGTTGGAGCATGGTACCAGTGTTGTTCACGGCTATGCGGCTCACCCTGTTCCCACCGCCGCGCTCCAAATTATACGCGCCGCAGGCCTGGCAGTTCTTTGTGCGCACGTTCTGCTGCTGCCTCCTCCGCCGCCCCGACCGCGATGGCGCCTACGAGCCCCTCAGCGGCGGCGCCGGCGGCGGCGACGCTGTGGAGGGCGGGAGCGATGGGGCGGTCGTCGTCGGCGAGGGCGGCCCGGGGTCCGGGTCCCTGGAGCGCAAGGCCAGCGGAGCCAATGATTCGGATGTTGAGGCGCCGTCATCGCTGGTGTCACCAAGAGCATAGCGAGTGCCTCTGCGAGGAAGCTGCCGAGGTGTTTCTGCAGACACTGCGCAACAATGTGCAGGGTGTGTATTCTGAATTGATCACTTCGCTTGATGTACAATCGACGCAGCGCGATTGCGTAGCCCTCTGCTTCCTGGCGCGTCAGCAGCCACATTGCCTGGCGCACGTCCATTCCCGAAAGATTGTGTGGCGCCACTCGCCGCAACGCCAAAGTGAGGGGCCACTCACCACAGAGCGCCGCCACCGGCGGCATCGCAATCAGTTCATCTGCTGGCCCTGCCAGGCACGTAAGCCCCTCCAGCAACTATCAAGCTGACAAGCCTCTAAGACACATCGAAGCCAGGCGAAATATCGCCCACTCGCACACAACAGGGGGTTTGGTCAAAAGCCACTGACAGCCGTGCCGCGCCCCGTCTGCGAACGGCAGCCGCATCCCCACTCATGTACAAGCGAATGGCCCCCTGGCAAGTCGCGCGCTCAACGGCGCAGCAAGTTGCTGACTCATGGCCCTGGTCGCCTGCGTAGATACTACCCTCACCGCTAAGAACTGCACCAGACAGATCTCCTGGCCCTGCAGCTCATGGCGCTGCAAGTGAGGTCAGCGTGTTTGCCGCGTTTGCAGCACAGCACCTTGTCCCAAAAGCTTCCTAGAGTTGTCATAATCGCGTGCGCGAAGGCAAAAACTGTTCCAGGAGGCCCTCCCACGTTCCCTTGAGCCAGCCTCAGGAAGCTGCTGCACATCAATCCCACAGAAACCTCTTGCACAGCGCGATCAATCGCTTGACAGACGGATGGTTTCAGTGTGAAAACCCCCAGCCTGGCGGGCATTAAGTCACAGGACACTCTGCAAGTGACTCGGGAAACCGAGGAGAGGCGCGCGGGTGCGAGCTGCAGCCGGGCGGCGCGCACGCAGGTGATGATTTGTCATCATCCATCCGACCAAAGCAAAAAAAACAGGGAAGTGGTGGATTGGCAAACCAAAACATCTATGTGCATGCATTCTGGTGTGACAGCTGTAACTCTCAAGCTAATAACAACTCCCCCATGTGCGTGTATACGTGCAGTGTGGCGCTTCTCCGGGGTTGCGTGCGTGACAATGCCTCGCATGTGTATGCGCTGTAGGGATGGCTTGGCCTGTATTTTGGGTCGGTCATGCAGTTGGGATTCTAGCCACGAAACTTGAATAGGCTCAGAACACGGCGCCGACCGCGCAAGCGCCCCGCACTCGCGCCCTGAAGGCGCCCCTAGGTGAGCACGTCCAGGGGGTGACGGATTGATGTGAAAGCTGTAGAAAGGCAACTGCGCTATTGGGCGCCCTTCCAACGGCGCGCTGAATGCCAAGATCAAGCCATGAAAAAAAGAGCAGCCTGTCTCAAAGCCTCGCCAGGTTCTAAGCCGCCCTCCGCACTGCTCGCTAGGGAAAACGGATATGCAGTAGGACCCGCACTAAAAACCTGAATATCCCCACACAAACATTCAAAGTGAAGACAAGCGGCTGGGTCAGCATCTCACATCCTCTGAGTAGCCACCATGAGCACACGCACAAAAGCCCAACCCCAGCCACAGCTCTGCTAAATTCACACACACCGGACAAAAGGCATGCGGAAACCTAGTGGAAGTGTGGCGGCGAGGCCAATGCCAGGGCCCAGAGTCATGCTGCCTGGTCAGCTGTCCACTACTGCGACACCGGGAACGCTGACCCGCCAGGACTGTAGACGCTAGCGAGGCCGTGGGAGGCGATCGCGGGGGCGTCAGGCTTCGAGCATGCCCTGGGAGTGTTTGTGGAAGCTGCAGGGCGGCTTCACGGCAGCATCTTGACCAGCATCTGCTCCGCCTCCAGCATGAAATCACCTGGAAAACAAAGTCGGGGGTTGAGGGATGGCAGGCGCGCAGCTGTCCAGGGTGTGATGTCAGGCCGGTGTCGGGCCCAAACCCTCAATGATACTGGAGCCCTTTGCTGGCAACAAACCCTAAACCCCGGCTTCTGTGCCTCACATCGCATTCCCTGCGCCTCAACCCACGGCCCTCGCTGATTGCATCTGCCCTGACCCCTGACCCTCGCGGGCGCCCTGGCCCCAACCTGCTGCAGGCACGCGATCACAGCCGCACCATGGCCAGGCCCCACCCTCCATGCAAGGTGACCAGCCCCAGCCCCCAGCTCACCAGCCTTGTGGCCCAGCACCTCGTTCAAGTAAGAAAAAAATGGCGAGCTCTCCTCCCAGGGGGCGGCCAGGGCCACCAGCTTGGCCATCACAACGGCTGGTGTTTCGGATTCGAGGGTGTGAAGAGGAAGTAGAGAGGGCATGGCGTGGCGGTTGTCATTTCAAGCCGAAGAAGGATCTTTGCTCGAAGACAAAGATGGAGGGCAACAGGATGCTCTTGGCGTCGCCGTGTGGGGACGGCCCATTAAAACATGAGTCACCAGGTCCTGCGCTGCACTTTCAAGCCGGATGCCTGTTTTGCACCACCTTGCACATCGACATTCAGGTGCGCTGCACTCCCGTCCCGCTCACCCCACGCGAGTATGCTGAGGTTGTGGAACAGCTTGGTCAGGCCGTTCTTGCCCAGGCCCTGCAGCAGGTGCGCCACGTCACTGCGGCGGCGGGAGGGTGTTTTGGTTGAGAGAGGGGTGGGGCATCCAGGGGTCGTCACCATGAGGTCGGCTTGCTTTGAATCGGCTGGCCCGTTGGTGGCATGAGTGGGGTGCTTGCGTTGGGGCAGGCGCAGGCGCGCAAAGGGCGACCTGTCTACGACACTGCGGCTGTCCACAGCGCCCACGGGCATTTGCATATCGAGGCTGCCACCAGGTAGGCGCCAAAGGCAGGCTGATGCTGTAAACCAGGCAGGCAGGCGGGGGCGCACCAGCCGTCTGTGTACAGCGCATTGTCGATGTTTGCTGTGGCCACGAAAATCAGCTCTGCTGCTATGGCCTTGTTCACAACCTGGGGGAAAGGGGGGGGGGGTAGTAGAAGATTTGCAGTTGACTGTGGTGACTGGGCAGGCTTCAGCTGCTGGGGCAGACGAATTGAATGGGTCCGCAGGGGCGCGGAGCGGATTGCTGGGGTGGGTCAAAAGGGACCGCGGCTGCCGGGGGGCCGTGCAGACGCAGGATGGTGTGGGCGTCCTGCGCTGCTTGCGCAAAGAGCCGCTTGCGTGCTGCGCATCCGCAGGCATCGTGCGCGTGGCTACTCACCTGGATGCCGTCTGCTATCGCGTCCCCAATGTGGTTGGACGCAAGACCTGCAGTGACCAGCAGGCCAGTCGCGAAGCTCTGCAGGACCAGGGACAAGCCTGGGGGGGCGGCGGGCGGGGAGGACACGTGACACGTCATGATGGGGGCTAAAGGGGCGGCATGGGTGGGTGGGTCGCCCTGCGATGAGCTGGGCAAATGCATGGGCGCCGGTGGGCGGCCCAGCTTATCCTGGGGAGAGACTGGCAGGTAGCTAGACCCCCGCCTGCCTGCTGTGCTGTGGAGTGCAATCCTCACACATGCACGCACGCACGCTCACACGTACACAAAGACTCTCCCCTCCCCGCACATACAGCCTCTGACACACACACACACACACACAGAGGGGCGGGGAAACTGCCCTCATGCACATCAGCAAACATGCGTAACCCAATTCTTGCGCGATGCAAACCCAACCGCACCTGCGCTGTTGAGTGAGCTCTGGAAGGCCTGCACCAACCGCTCCTCCTCCGGCGTCAGCTCGTACCCAGGCCCCTCCCCACGGGCGCCCCCGTCGCCCCCATCGGAGCCCCGCCCCGGGCGGCTGATTAGGGGCAGCACTGGCGGCAGGCCCCTCAGAATCTCCTGCACGCTGCTGCCGCGGAGGGCGGCGCCGCCGGGTCCGGCGGAGCCGGCGGGGACGCCAAGGGCCGCAGCAGGGAGGGCCGAGGCGGCAGCGGCGCCGGTGGCGGCCGGGGCTGCGGAGGGGAGGGCGGGCACCAGCCCGGCCGGCAGACGGCCGCCCTCAGCCACAGCCTGCGAGGGGCGGCGCAAGCAAACAGGTTGGCCGCAAGCTGGAGAGGTGGATCATGTACCTCTCGGCTCATGACATGAGAAGGGCGCTCTTACGAGTCACTGCTCTCTCCAATGACAATCACCCTCGCTCTGCGACCATCAATCAGGCAGGCGCACCAGAGCACGCACACACACGTGCACACATGCACAAGCACGCTGCGCCCCGCTTGCCTGCTCGCTGGGCCGTCGTCCCGCGGCCTCGTACTGCAGCAGGTAGTTGAATGCGATGCGGATGGCCAGCCGATCCAGCAGCGGGAAAGACACGTCGTTCGCCGCCTCCACGCAGCGCCTGGGAGTGGGGGGGTCAAATCCATGGGGCGGCGGCGAGGGGTCAACAGGTGCAGGCAGCGGGAGAGCGGCGGCCTGTTGTGCGGCTGGCTGATCCGGGTGCTGCGCGTCTCGCCCTGAGGGTGGCGTTGCATGTTGGTTGGAGGCGAGCGGGAGGCAGACCTGTGTGCCCCCAGGGCCTCCTCAACATCGTCCAGCTTTTTGCCATACTTATTGAGCACAAACCTTGGGGGGCACAAGGTGGGGGCGTGTGGAGATGCGGGAG